AGCAGATGTCTGGCAAGTTGAAGTCCCCCACAAGAACAAGGACTGGCGACTGCAAGACTTCTGCCAGCCTCTTGTAGAATGCTTCATCTATCTCTACATCCTGGTTGGGTGGTCTGTAGCAGACTCCCAACAGGACATCCACCTTGCTGGCCTTCCCCCTCATCCTTACTCATAAGCACTCGACCTTATCATCACCACTGTCGAGCTCTATGCAGTCAAAACACTCCCTAACATACAGAGCCACCCCACCGCCTTTCCTTCCCTGCCTATCCCTTCTGAAGAGCTTATAGCCATCCAGTGCAGCACTCCAGTCATGAGAGTCGTCCCACCACGTTTCTGTGATGGCAACTGTGTCATAGCCATCCTGCTGCACAAGGGCTTCCAGCTCCTCCTGTTTGTTGCCCATGCTACATGCATTGGTGTACATGCACTTGAGATGGGCTATCAATTTCGCCCCCAACGTTGCCATGCCGCCCCTGGGCTCCTCACTAGTGGGCCCGTTTATATCCCCTTCCCCCTTTGAACCTAGTGTAAAGCCCTCTCAATGAGTCCCGCCAACTCATGGGCGAGAATCCGTTTCCCCTTTGGAGACAGCTGATCTCCATCAGCCGCCAGCAGGCCCGGTGCCATGTAAACCTCCCCATGATCGAAAAAACCAAAATTCCACTGATGGCACCAGCCTCTGAGCCACCTGTTAATCAGGTGAGTTTTCCCATTCCTTTCAGCATTCTTTGCTGCCATTGACAGGATTGAGGAAAACACTACCTGCGCTCCTGATCCTGTGACCAGTCGCCCCTGTGCCCTGAAGTCCCTCTTCATTGCTTTAGGACTTCTTTCTGTAATCTCATCACTGCCAACCTGTATAACCAGCAATGGGTAATAATCAGAGGGCCTTACAAGGTCGGGGAGTTTCCTAGTAATGTCCCTAACCCAGGCTGATGAACAAGTTCACTTCCTCATTAGGCAGGAATAAGCTTCACAACCACTAGTCGGGCTCCCCACTCAGTTTGGCACCGAGTCAACAGAGAACAGCTTAATCCTGAAATTCCTTCAGTGCTTATGTTGCCTCATGGGACCTTCAGGCTTGGGCCAGGAGCACCTGATAAACAGGAGCTGCTGTGCCATTTATCCTCTTCATGTAGGATGATGGGTCACTACTGGAGGAGGTTCCTTGCTGCGAGGAAGCAAAATGTAGGCAGGCAGTGGCTACAGAGATGAGGGTGCATACGTTTTCTTCCACCCCTCTCCTTCCTCAAGCCATATTATGTTTCATTAAAACCTTCCCCCCACATGGAAATAGCACAGTTCTCCCTTGCAGTGGAAAGAAGTTAATAGATCTAATTTGGCAATACAGGGTCTTGGTGCAAGCGGTCCTGATGTTTGTGGAGCTTGAGGCATCCATCCATAGGGTCTTGCATTGTGTGGTCTGTCCAGAAGAGCAAATTCTAGCCCTTCTATCAAATGATTTCCATGAGAACTTGTAGAAAGAACTTGCTGAATTTTCCTCCCTCTTAAATATCTTCAAACTAACAAGGTCACAATTCCTTAAGCTTTCTGAGAAAACTATAATTTTTATGGAGCCTCAGTTATTTGGAAAAGGGCTAAGCAAATGGATCAGCTCCAGTATTTTGTATCTAGCTATATCCTCACTGGGACATAGGCTTGCTTCCACTTGGCTTCTTACAATTTTGGCTTTTGAACGTCCTTCTTCGTGTTGTAGTTGATTATGCCACTGCGTGTTCTGCAAGAATTGCAGTGTTACCACTTTGAGGCAAGAGGTGGTAGAGCTTTCACAACACCCAAGCATTTTGATTCATGTTGCTCCACCCAACACTTCTGCAGTCTTCAGACCTACAACTGCACTATTTTGTGTTAATGATCTGGGAAATTTTTAATTTCTTAATGCTGAAGTATTTGCAAGAGGATATAGACAGTGGCCCATTTCACCCAAATCTAATTCTGCAGCCTGCATAGAATTGCTCTTCTTGAAGGATTTCAAGCTATTTAATACCACAGGCTATTGTTTTATTTTTGCCCTCCACCTCTTCCTAGATAATGAAAGGATGAATAAAGAAAATGTTACAAGTGTAGAGATTCTGGATGACTATGTTCTTTTACTCTGCTGACGCTGTTAATCTGTTGGGGTTTTTTTTGTTTTACTTATGCAGATAGGTCTTTAAGACACAGTCTGTCTTCTGTTATGTGTATCATACACCCTAATTCCTGACAAGGCCTCAATGAGATCTTGCAATACAAATGCATGGGCAGTTCTGGGCAAGATGCTCTAGCCTGATTTGTTTCCTTCGGAGACCAGACAGTCCTATAGCTGAAAAGGCACTGTTCAAATCTTTAAAACATATTACCAACTTTTCACAGTATCATTTCCAAATAAATGACCCTACAGTTAAATACCTCTGGCCACATTTAGATGCTTGTCTATCTGTCAGCACTTCTGCACACCCAAATTTTTCTGCATTGTTAGACCAGTTGATTAGAGTCATGATCAAGCACCTCCTCCTAAAAACACTTCAGTATTGTTGGAGTAATGGAAATGGTCCGCATATGTGACCTTAACCGGTAGTAAATGCAAGCTAACACAGTCCATTGTGGAAGAGGGCAACATTGCCATGCATGTGCTGCAGGTGGTGGCCACACACATGGACAAGTACTGCCATGTTGCCAACGTGCAGTCACTGGTTATGAAGTAGCAACTTGGTCGTGAGAACGAGCTGTAAGATCACTGAGTTCTGTAAAGCACTGTAAGATATATAACTCCTTTGAAGTTCAGGGCCTTGAATTTAAGTCAGGGCCTGTGAGCTTCCTTGAAAGAGTGCAGAAACTTAAGCATTGGTCTGATCTGCTCATGCTGACATTAGCTCTGGAGAAGACTAAGCCTTGCAAGACCTCTAATTTCAAAAGGCTTATGACAAAATGCACCCTATTAAACACGGGTGCACATGTGCTAAGTGCACACAACATTGACTGACTATTCCTTTCAGTGCACTCTTCACTGTACAAAACCAGGAAATTTTTATAAACAGAATTCCTATCTTCTTTTAAGCAGTTTCTTCCTCACCCCATCATGGCCACTCATTATGATAAGATTTTCCGTTCTTCTTCCTTTCTTTCCGCTCTTTCTGCAGACGTTCTAGTTCTGCTTCATACATCATTTCCTGAATGAGGTACTTTTCTCTCCTCATCCGATCTCTCAGATCTTTTGGGAGATCTGGGATTAAGTAGGAAATCAGGTGCTTTATGCAAAAGACAAGGTGCTGTGAAAGCAAAAAAGGGATGAAAAATTAAAATCTTAGGACGAAAACAAGTACTTTCCCTATCTTCTGAAACCCCTCTCTTTCTGATTCACAAAAAGATGCTGTGTTAGAACTAAATTCATTACTAAATTTGAAGAAACCAAACCATGAAGTTTTTTCCTGACAAAAACTCCAGCCAAAGTCAGTGGAGTATGGATCGCAACAAAGTTTATGAGAATTTTGGTTCAAATAAGGCCTCAAAACTGTTGTATGATGTGTGTGTTCAAACCCCTGAGGTTGTGATTTGCTGTAAGGTTGTTTGGGCATGGCCTGGTGTTAGTGGATTGCTCTGCAGGAAGAGGAGGATCAAATAATATAATACTTCCTTGTTGCCAGAAAACCCTTGCATCAGCATTGGTATGCAAAACAAAACATTTTTTCTTATACTGTGTCTCTCATCCAAAGACATTCCCATTTACTAAACATCACAATTAAATACAAGGTAACTAACTGATCCTTTGTCCCTCATGTTTTAGGCATGCCGCAGCAAAGCTTGAGTGTGATGTTGGAGGATTGCTTGAGTGTCCTTTTTTGTTTGATCAAAGATGCTGCTTGGAGATTTACTCACTCCACTTGAGAGGAGGAGCAGAGAAACAGAAAAATCCTCCATCTCAGAAATGACACTCATTCTAGACTGGAGAAATAAAGGTATTTCTTCCTCTCCAAGCAGAGCCCCTCCTTTGCAAGCCACTGAACAGAGAATGTAACATGTTTTCCCATGTATTCTTCCCTCATAAGAAATAAACCCGCAATCCTTTAATTGCTCGGTTTTTGCCAAACCTAAAAAAAAGAAAAAAAGCTTCTTCTGTCAGTTTAGCCTGGACAAATAATTCCTTTTGTAGTGATAGGAAATAGTTTTGGTTTTGAGGGAGGTCAAGATAGCCAAAATAACCACACCCATAGTGCCTAAAAGGTGTCTGAGCTTAGGTAGTTACTTAATTTATGAAAAAACCTCCTTGAATCACTTCTCTCTTAGCGCAATCTTTTATTGTAATTGCTGTAGCAATCACAATACACCCATTGGTGTTTTCCACAGAGTGGAATGAATGATAGTCATGGTTTTTGCTGCAATAACCTTTTTGATTTCATAGCCATAGTTAAGGAAACAGTTTGCAGTGCCAATAAAGACAGTGGCCCCTGTTGAAGGAGACAGCTATGAGCCAGCCTATGGCTTTGGTTGGGGCAAAGCAAAGTCAAATCTCTTGTGCAAGTATTAGGCAGGCACAAAAACCTATTTCACAGCAAGTTGCGAATTTGTCTGGGCACTGAGACTTGAGCATGGCTGATTTTTCTTGCCTCAGTTATCTTTGCCCTTATGCCTTGCTGCCTTTATGCCAAGTGTGTATCAAGAAGCCAGGCTCTCTTCAATCTTAAAACTACTTAGGCTGACCTGCCAAGGCCATTCTTGTAGTCTTTTTTGGAGACAGGTACCCTGGCTCTCAGTACCGTCAGCTCAAGAAACAAAGAAGAGATCAAGCCCAGCAAGCCTCTATCAAATCTTTCTTTCTTTCTTTTCCTTAATGTTTCCCTGAGTGTGGCAGAGATGATGGAAGAGCTGATCCTCATGAGTTAGCCCAGTTCAGAGGAAGGAGGGAACGCAACCTGCAGTGCCATGTTCCCCCTTTGTCTGGGAAGGGCTGAAAATGACAATCAGGGGGAATTCATTGCAGACCTTGGGCTTCTATTAAGCCACCAATACATTCCTGTGCAAAAAATAATCTAGAAAGTGTTTCCCCTTCACCTTTCCTCTAATTCAAATGCTTCTGTTCTGAGATCCAAAGAGGTGCTTCGAAAGCTCAGTTCAGAATTAATTTACGCATTAATGTGGGTCAGAAATGCAGTATGTGCTCATGAACATTATGCCAATAATTTATGGTGATTACAGCTTCCATATCTGTGTTGGATGCCCCATTGCTGTGATTTCAGAGCAGAGGATTGAGTAAAGAGTTTTTAAAAATCATTTGTTCCCTGTTTAGCGGCTTCACAGTCTAAAAGGCATTTCAAACTCCTTGTGCTGGAGAGATGCTGAGCCCCTGGTTTCTGGCAGGGATATTCAGGCACCTGAAATTCAGGCCTTAAGAGCTGCTTTTTGTGTTGTAAATGATCTCAGCCCATTTATCTACCCTCCTGTCTCTCTTTTTCAAAATCAGCATGGGAATACCAGTCATGTGAAGTTGGTATTATCTTCTCTGGTTTGCCTTAAAGATTTCTGAGATACTGACAGTAAGTACTAATATTATGAACATTGGCAAAGGTATTGAATCCTTTTCATCATCATTATCTTTGTGACGCTAATCACTCTGGGGAAATGAATGGTATTTAAAAAATAGAGAAAAAAGTGAGATGTGTAAATACTATAACTTAAACTATCTTCATTTTTCAGTTGTTCAGATTTCACCTTTTCTTCTAATGTTCCTTTACCCCTTCCTCACACACCAGTCAGCATACAGCTTCCCAGCCTAGACAGGTTATGAATGCCAGACCTCAGAAAGTAAATAAAAGCTTCATTTTTTTCCCCTCTTTGCGAGTCACTGTTATAGCTTTCAAGGTGCTGCATTCCCCATTTTGTTAGAACCTAAATACCTGTGACTGTTCAGAAAACAGATCTGAGAATACAAAGTACAATATAAATAGCAGAAACTAACACAGAAAGCTCAACAGCTGCCATCATAGATCAGGCCAATGAAAAAGCTTCAAAGGGAAATTTGTTTCAATTTGTTGTTTTTGTTTTGCCACCTGAATGGTCACTGACCTCAAATACAATAATGAAAGCCAACCGCGCTGCTAAGACATGCCAGAACTGCAGCGTGTAACCGTAGGGCACTGGGGAGTGAGGAGGGTCTCGGTAGTCCCTGTACCTGAAAGACAAGCAGAGTACGGTAGTTAGCAAGCTCCTGCTCTGCTGCCTGGGAGGAAGGCAAAACCAAACCCAACCCCTCTTGATCATTGCATTTTCTGCACCAAAATAATCTCAGTTCAGACTGTACAAGTTACCACAACACTGCTTGCTTCTAGTGTTTTATTTCCGATCAGGTGCATGCTTTCAAAGCAAGTGTCCTGATCACCTCCACTTGCCATGCTTTGATTCACCCAAATGTGTTTACTTTCAGATGAAACCTAACGGTAAGATGCACCCCAGGAGTGCACTTCATTCTCCAGCTGCGAATGGAAATTCAGTGCAAAGGACCAGGCCAGTTCCTGCATGAAGTGAAACTGCTGAAGCAATTACAGAGGATGTTGAGTGCTCAGCACCAGCAGTTTGACCCTACAGCATCTCCCTTAGCTGCACAATGTGTGCCTTGCAGGCACCTCCTCAGAACATGGAGCAGGGTAGGATGCTTTGCTGTTTTGAGGGCCACTTTCTTCCCACTACAAGTTCATTTTAAAACCATAAATGTCCCCAATTTTGTCAGCCTGAGAGCCCTCCCAAAATCCATATAAAACTGCCTCATGGGCTCCATCTGTCCCTTGGTCAATTAGTTGGCCATCTCTGGTGTGAAGCATGACCCATCCTGACTTCAGCGGAGCTAGAACTGCACCTCTTGGGATACCAACAGGGCAAGGGCTGTGTAAGAAAGTGATCTAGTGTCTTGTCTCACAGAATGTTTCTTTAAAGACTTTAGGTCTCAATAATGTAACTAGAGATATCTATTGGGAAAGCTGGATCCAGGAAGACTCCAAAATTACATTAACAAACCTTAAATCTCTTTAAGTCACACATTCTGGAGTCCATTTCTACTAGCAGTATGTTAATTCCAAAATGCTATTGCAGAAACTTAATTTAAAAGTAGTGTAAAAATTGTTTTCTCCTTAATCTGTTTCCTAGATGGGACAGAAAACCCATTATAAAAAATATTGAAAATAACACACTAAATAATACACTTAAGCTTGATCTCTAAGTTAGTTTTAAGAAACTAAAGAAAACTCAGGTGAGCAAAGGAAATAAACAGTTATTTCATCTCTGTGATAATCTGTATTTCTCCCTGAAGGTTCACCTTCTTAGATTGCAGAGGGTGCTACACGAAATGAAATAAACTGTCTTGACATCTTAGTCAGCAACAAACCTCTCTTAAATTGTAGTATGTCTGGTGCAAGTTCTTAAAACTCAGATCATCCTCCCTTCTGCAAGCAGCATTCTGACTTTATAGTTCAGGATGTTTTACATCCTAAGCATCCTGAAAACAGACATCCCTGCCCAAGTCAGTGGAGTATGTCTCCTTTTTGTACTTGCTAGGAACCAAGCACTACACAAGAAGAAATGGGGAAACCTTTTATAAACAACCAGAATAGCATGGCACCATCTGGGTTCCAGATGAGCAGAAGTTAACTGAATATGGCCACTGGTTTTTGTTCAGACAGACTGCCTTCCTGGAAAAGTGCCTACACTATTGCACAGTAGAACATATTTCCTTACTTCACTATCAATATCTGGCTTGAAGTGCAATTAAAATGACTGATTGTCCTGGTTTCGGCTGGGATAGAGTTAATTTTCTTCCTAGTAGCAGGCATAGTGCTGTGTTTTGGATTTAGTAGGAGAAGAATGTTGATAACACACTGATGTTGTAGTTGTTGCTGAGTACTGCTTATGCTAGTCAAGGACTTTTCAGCTTCCCATGCTCTGCCTGGTGCACAAGAAACTGGGAGGGGGCACGGCCAGAAGAGTTGATCCAAACTGGCCAAAGGGCTATTCCATACCATATGACGTCATGCTCAGTATATAAACTGGGGGGGGTTGGCCGGGGAGCAGCGATCGCTGCTCGGGAACTGTCTGGGTATCGGTCGGTGGGTGGTGAGCAATTCCATTGTGCATCACTTGCTTTGTATATTATTACTACTATTATTATTATATTGTTACTATTATCATTACTATTTTACTTTATTTCAATTATTAAACTGTTCTTATGTCAACCCAGGAGTGTTTCTCACTCTTACTCCTCCGATTCTCTCCCCCATCCCATCGGGGCAGGGGGAGTGAGCGAGCGGCTGCGTGGTGCTTAGTTGCTGGCTGGGGCTAAACCACGACACTGATGTTTTAGCAGAATTTGGGTGGGTTAAGTAGCTGATAAACTCAGCTAAAGAAAGATGTTCATTTTCTTTCAAGGGTAGATATACATAACAATTCAGTGTCCCCCAAAAGAACAGCTTTATCTTCTGGAGATTTATGGCACTAATTCTAATAGTGTTCTGTTTATGTGATATTGAGGGGACAACTTTTTTTTATTGACGGGATTTCCACCATCGGCTTTAAGTAGCAGCAACCTCATGCTTGAAGTTGGGGAAGAAAGGAATTAACGAGGGGGAAGAGAATGGTCAGAATTACAAAACATTATTAAACGGTGCTATGGCAAACAATGTGGAATGGAGCATTCTCAAAGTGGTTCTGCTCCACAGAAAATATTATCTATGGATTCAACATTAGGATGTTCTTTCTGCCAAGTAAATTGCAACAGTCTTAAATATCAGTTAGTTAAATGAAAGCATTAATGCCACCCCCCCACACCCCCCAGTTCATTACGCTATACCACTCAAACTTCTTATTATTAATAAAAATGCCACAGTATCATAAAGTATCACTGACTTTTGCTGTATCACAGAGTATCTTTTGTTCTTTAGGTGCTCATGAAAGGATATTTTAATTCTTCACAGTGAAAAATACTGGGACTAAGTGTATCTGCAGCTACCAGGACTTGTGCTTGTAAGCCAATGTTGCAATAAAAAAATGGTAGCTGTATTTGTTGTTTGGTATTTTTGGTTGGGACCCCATTTAAGACCTTTATGTAGATTCTTGATTCTTTGGACAATTAAAATCAATCAGGTGCAAATCTGTCATTACAGACTAGTCTCAGACTGCTATTTCTCCAATCTGTTGGCTGAGGACAAAGACATACAGATAATTAACTGGTAATTTTGTTTTGATTCAAACCACAAGGATATGATTATTACCAATAATTACGCCTGTAAGCAATGACAGAAACATAAAAACCATTCAACAATTAGGAAGTGCTGGGTCTGAGGTTTCATAAAGGTAGCTTAGAACAGACCCTGTTTATGCCTGGCAGACCTGTGAAATAACTCAGTGTGAGTCACTTCTGTGCAACCTCGACTTCCTTGTGCATGTGCTATGACATAATCTGATTACAGTTTCATCTCACTGGTACTTAAGTAATCAGTCACCTGTTATTGGCCCTTTGATACCATATTTCTCCATGATGGCTGTGTCTGATTCAAGCCATGACATCATAGAAATCCTGCATTAGGAACACCTGCCAGATATCCACTTTTTGGCTTCTCCTGTATCTAAGGAAGGAATCATGCAGGTAACAGCCAAACAGTACCATGAGCATGTCCCTGAATAGCACAGTTAATTCTTTCCATTACTGTTTTTTAAGTTCTGAAAATCAGTTCCAACCCCAATCATGATGCATCTCCCTTGCAATGTCTTAAAGCAGAGAGGTATTTTGATCAGATACTTACCTGCAATATTTTAATGGTGAACCAGAGAATTCACTTCCATTTGATGTTGGTTCTGAACGGTTTTCAAAGTCAGACACCAGAAATACTGATAAACTGGCATTAACATAGCCAACCATACACCTAGAGGGGAAAAAGTCCCGTAGTCAGGACACAACAAGGTTTTTCCATTAACTGTTGTACCCCAGAGGATGTTCTCTGGGTTTCATGAAGTCCACAGTATAACTGTGATGCTTATTAATATTTGAAAGGGATGTTGACACAATATAAAAGAAATGCTTAAGTAGGTCAGATGGATGATAAAAGTGAAGCAATGGTAGATTTCTATGGGAGAAGAAATGGTGAAGACTGGAACTGGTTACTTTTAAAAAGAAATCACCTAAAAGGTGACACAATAGAGGGAGAGAAAATGATGAGTAACATTAGGAAGATAATCAGAATTTTCCCACTGTTACCCTCATGGTACTAGCACAAAGGGACATTAAATCGGATGGAAACGTGATATGCTTAAACCAACTTTTTAAAAAATGTCCGGTTAATCAGAGGAACTCAGTACTAAAAGATCCCAGGGTGGCTGAGCACTGGGAGGGTCAGGCAGAGTTTGGAGACCACTGAGGAGGGGAATGTATGTCGCCTGATGAAGGGCTGTTGGAGTCACTAGAAGGCTCAAGTTTGGTGTTGGTAAAGCTGAGGAGAGACATAGCAAGTGTATTGTGCTGTTCACTCTGCACTGCCCAAGCACAGGTAAGTCAAGGCATACTGCTCAGCTTGGTCCAGAGTATAATGCACAGTAAGGGTTGTTTGGTTTTTTGTTTTTTTTTAAACTATGGATTTTACAGTCTTTGAGAAATTACATTTAAACACCATCTGGCTTTGTCTAAAAAATCTTCATAATGATTGGATTTGGAACTTGATTTAATTACAGTATTTTTCTAGTATCACTGAGTGTCATATGGATCTGATACCTACAGATGTTTTTTAAAAGAAAAAAGCACCTCTCATTTAAGTGATTCAATAACAGATGTTCTTGACTCCTTAAATTAAGAAAATTCAATATTCCTGTGGATTTTTAATAGCTTCCTGCTTTTGTAACAATACTTATTAATAACAATATCCAGAATGCTGACATAAATAGCTTTTATCAAAGTTGGCTCATTCAAAGGATTACTCTCTGATGGTTTCATCTAGAGATTCACTCAGAAAAACAGCAGAAGTGTGAAAACACTATACAAGAGGCTTGTGAAAAGATGATAAGAGCTTCCTCTGTAAGCTGAGCTACTTCCCCTATGCAGAACTAGTTTCAAAGCCAGTGAGTCATATCTGAGTCTTCATAAAAATAACATTTCTAAAGGTGTTGCTTTTTCATGCACGGTGGTCCTGAAAAAATCAGTAGCAAGAGAAGTTGCTGACAGTGCCTCAATGTCCTATGGATCTTCATAATGGCACAAGCAGAGGCACACGCTCAGGAGCGACTGGCACCAGACCAAACACTTTACCCGTGAAGGGACTTTAACTCTTCATGAAAATATATGGAACATTTCCCCTGACAGCGACTAAAATGCCAAACTCCTTGCAGGACAGCAAGTTAGCAGCACTGCTAATCAGGAGCTGCCACACCAGCTGCCCTTCTTCCAGCAGTATGATTAAACAGTATTGACAACCAAAAGACGGCAAAAAAGCAGCAACAGAAGAACTTGCTTTGTGTAGCAGGGAATAAAAATCAATCTGCCATATGTCTAATAGCAGAATGTAAGCTCTCTGTCACTGTCTACTCTTTAGCTTGGTTTTCTCTGAACAGTAGGGTCCTTGCTAATGGAGCTGCTAGGAGATCATTTGCAAACTGTGTCTATTTATGTTCAGCTGGATTCAGTGACCCTCCCTGAGTCCAACAGCCTAGATTTTACAAGTTGCCATGTAGCAGCTATACTTGTGCTTGCTGGTAGTGTGCACATGCAAGTATAATCTCAGTGTTTAGCAACACTGAAAGAAAATCCACTTAGGCAGCTGGGATTCAGTTCACAAATGTCTCCTGAAAGATCTAATGTAAGGACTCTACTTTTAGAAGAAAAACAAATCACTTTGCTCTGTAATAATATCTTGATTTATTAGTTGGGAATTGCTTCCTCGTGTTAGACACTACTCTTTTTCAGCAATACATGCTGAATACCACATCAGGAAAGAAAGCCTAGTGAATAAGTTTAAAATGCTCATTAAATCCGTAACTGATAAATATCAGCATTGCTTCAGAATGAAAAGAGGATTATATCCATGTACACCAGCTGGGAAGTGCAGCTTGTGCAGCATACTGTTACACACTCCAAATCTCTGTAGCAGCTCTGCCACCACGTTTTCCTTGAATTAACGTCATAAATTATAGTCACTCAGCAACCCATTCTGTGAGTATGCAAATCATCAATATCTATGACTGATATCTGTTACCTAAGCACAAACAATAAATTTGGGTTAGTGGAATCAGAATGTACAGAAAGTATTGCTGTATCTATTCAGGTAGATTTTCATGCACGTCTGTTTTCCCAAAGAAAAGCTTACTTTTGTCCAGCTTCTCCTTGGCCAGCACAAGGTCCATATTTGTAAGCATAAACAAGGCGAGGGATGAAATCTGATGTCACAGCTATAACAAATGCATTTGTGATGACAGAAAGAATTCCAATGCCTTCCAGGATCCCGTACCAGATTCCTGTTCAACAAGGAGAGTATGTTAGCTCCAGGAAAAACAAGAACCAAAGTGCCCGAGATACTGCATGCTCTGAAGCAGTTGTCCCCTCCACCCAAGGTCTTTTTATGTAGTTTCTATCCGAGAGTCACTGAGTAAAAATAATTTTTTTCTTATTGAACACCAGGACCTCAGTGCACCAGATTTCTGTTCCCACTGGGTGGGAATTTTGTTTATCCTGCAAATAATCTGAAGGAAGCCACAAAAATGCTCATGGAGGCCTTGGCTCCACCAAGCCACATATGGGCAATTTTGAGAAATGCTGTAAGCCTCCCTGCTTATCATGATGGCTATCCAGCCTTTGAGGAGGGTCTGCCAGGGCAGCCATGAATATATGCAATCCACGATCTGCCTGTCACAGGGGGCTTGTGTGTAACTCCTGCACAGCTGGTCAGCATGTACCTATCGGCATCAAAATCTTCACGGCATGCTGATGTTATGTAACGACACACAGCCCATAGGCACCACCTGGGCTTTTTGGCCCATCCTCAACCGTCTGACAGATCTTGTGGTACAGGCACACAGCAACTCTGGTCATGAGGAACATCACTGAGAACCACACCAAAGGAAGGTTAGACTTACCCATTGATTTTAAAGATTTTAAAGCTGTCCCTGAAAATTTGCTGAATAAGGAGTGAATGCAACTTATTTTGAGAAATCACACCTGAATCAGCCTGAAAAAAGGTCTTTTTTTCCTGTGTTTTATTATTTACATTTTATAACTGGTTTTTTTCAGGAATTATGTTTGCAGTGTATGCTGTGTACTGGCTGATGTCCAGGCTTGTACCTAAACTCGTAGACCCACACTGTGCACATACAAAGCTTCACTCAGACACAGACTTTAGGTACATGTAGATCATTCTGAGAGTACAAAGCCTGGGCTTCTGCTGTTTCACGGTGTGGGCTACTGGTTTTTGCAATGCAGATGGGCAGTGAGGTATCCTATTTACACCTCCAAAGACACCGGGGATTCAGCATTGGGCAGATGACTTTGTTTGACAGAGTCCTTCCTAAAGGTGTTCTGCTTTTGCATGCTGCAAGAATAGATTTATAGTCAAAGTATGTTTGGAGAGCCCTTGCAGTAGTGTGTGGTTGGGTGACCTCAAAGTTATGTGAACCCTCTGTTTAGCAATGTAGGCATGCCTCACTGAGAGCAAGTCATCTCTTGGGATCTAGACCCCTGCCATCCGACCCACCAAGGACCTAGTGGGCATAGCCCCTGAGTCACTTCATTAAAACATCTTGGCTGTTATGTCACCCAGAAAATCATTAAAAGACATTTTCCAATATAGACTATTAATTGCATAAGTAGATTGGCATCAGATACTTTAAGTTTTTTGTAACTATCAAATTGTGTGTTGTTAATGGGGAAGATGACTGAAAATACCTTAATCTGCTCTTGAAGTGGTCAATGCTTCACCTCAAAAATAACACACACACATAACAAACACACATACAAAGAGCTCACCTATATCTTTGGCTCTTGAAGCTAATGGTCTTCTCCACTGGGTAACAAATTTGTATGCATCAAGCCGAATTTCAATAATATTGTTAAGTAAGGCCAGAAGCGGTGCCAGTGGAAAAGCTGCCACAAAAATGGTTGTGAACCCAAACTGAAGAACTAGGAAAAAAAAGGAAAGATCACAGTATTACTCTTAAGATCTAATCCCAAGGTCTAAGATACCAAATAATATATACATACAAATATTATGTATAAATATACAAACATTTCTTACTATGCCGTACCATACAATAGTCTAGTGACACTTGTACAGCAATTCCTTACCAAAAGTTCAGAGCAAGGATGACAAGAACAAATGAATATCTGTCCCCGTGATGGACAGCAACATCTAGATTTTGTCATTTGCAGCGAAGTTTCGAGGTAGACACACTGTGCTTTTAGAAAAGGACATTTTTACTCCAGCATCAACTGGGATCTCTCAATACCTCCAAAGATTAGGGCTGAATACATTCTTTTTTATAGTACAGATGGACAGCAGTTTGAAACCTTGTGTAAGTTTCTAGAGGCAGGTTTTCAGACTGCCAAGTTTCCAATTAATTTGAAAAAAATTTTGTGAGGGAGAAAAGAAAAAAAACCATGACATCTGCTGTTAGTTACACAGTGCAAAAGCTCTTGTTCTTTAACATTTCTTTGAGCTGTTATCCTCCCCTCTCCTCCAGATAGAGCGATGCCTTTTGGCAGCAAGCTACTTTGTAAACATGATGTAGTAGATGATGGTGAATTTTAAACATAAACCAGCATGCAGGTCTGTACCATGCAGTTTAAAAATAAAAGCCCAAGGGAACTTCCTTTAGTAAATAACAGCAGAGTTCTTCAGAAATGTATGCAGGTGAAGAGGTGGGCTCTGGTTTGGAAAACAACCTTCCCCACACAAAGCCAGAATGAGAAGTGTTTCATAGGTGCGGGGTTAACAAACCAGCAGCAGTGTGGTTAGCTACATTGGTTTGGTTTCATTCTTACAAACTCACTCCCATTCTTCACCTGACCTGCAAGAATGAAAACCATTCTGCAGCCTCTTTAGCTTCATACAGCAATAATTAAAAGAATACAGCAGCCCACATCAACAAAAAAGCAACAACATTAAAAACTAGTGAAAGAGAACAAAGGTCAGTGCCATACTCATTTCTAGGTATTCATCAAAGAGTCCATAAGCATTCATAGGTTGCAGATTGTAGTCCTTTTCCCACTGTGGGAAGTTTGTTTTTCTCTGAGTGCCATACTCTTGTCGTAGTTTTCTCCTGGTCCACCAGTTTTGAATTAGCCTACATTTTCAAATAAATTAAAGAAACAAGGTAAATTATATCAGTGGCTATTTATCACAAAATTGGAAGATGCTGTGTGCACAACATACCTTGAAAATTAATTTCCCAATGCACAGGAAAATAGAGCATTAGTAATACATGTGGCTGATGGCACAGCATAATATAATAATATAATAATGATGGGCTGTAATCCAGGCCTAGATGTTGTCAAAATGGTGGAGGGATTTTGACATCTTTTCATTATTTGTCTACCTTCTTTTCTCTATACAGAATGGCAAATCACTTCAGGGTCTGTTTATATGGCAGAATGCAGTGCTGTGTGGAGACAGTTGAGCTCTAATTGAGAAATCAGTAAATAGAATGCTAATGCTGCTTGATCCCTTCCTGTGTGCGAGCTCGCTTCTCTACACAACTCTACAGTGTGCAGGGTAACAGTCCCCAGGCAATCCTGGAAGGGAAAAAGCAACCTTGAATGGTGTCTGCAGCCAAACATTCAGAGGAACAAAAGGCAGAAAGAAGCATGTGGACCACTGACAACACTTGGTGGCCTAGAGATGGATGGCTGACATGAGAGCTATCTCCATCTCAAGAAATGGGGGACCTGCACTGGACTTCAGGGGGAAGATATTGTTCCTGAAGAAATGCACATGTAGGGGCACCGTGGGAGGCACTGAGCCAGAAGAGAAGTGAGTGCTCACATCTGAAATAAACATCTTTGCTTCTCCAGGTCAGGGAGTTGCACTGGTTTGGCCAACAAAGGACACGAGTTACAGTTAGTACAGAGAGGAAAAAAAAAAATCATGACAGAGATTTTCTCCAAAGTTGTAGTTGACCCCTTCGTCTCAGCAAGATAGAAGGTGATGGCTCACCCAAATAATTCAATCCTTTCCCTGACTGTGCCTCGCTTCTTCCCTTCCCTTCACGGTGGCCTGGTCTGTGAATGGTAGGCAAATGGCCATTGGATTTGGGTAACGGTTTGGCCAATTGCTTGTTTTTTTAAAGCTTAGGTATTATTTTTCCATTCAGGCCATTTACCAGAGAGGTTATAGCTTTTCCTGTCTTCCTTAAAGAAGTGTAGGTGCAACTGAGTGCAGGGCATTAGAATCTAGAGTTTAGAAGTGCAAGAAAAAAATACAGAAGTACAAGCATGGACTTCAAGCCAAAATTTGGAAGTACAAGAAATTATTAAAATATTTGGTTTTAGCAGCTTGCAGCCAGTCAGTAGTGTGTAAAAAGCCTAAAAAGGCCTTTCCTGTGAATGTCCATGGTTGTGATTGATGAACTGTGGGACAGTTAAGGGCACGTCTTCGCAGTCCACAGCACCCTTTGGGACTTTGCCTCTTGTGTCCTGCCCGCGAGAAAGTGAGAAGGCAGCAAACTAAGGGGTAATGTGGGTGGGAGACCAATACGCTGAGACAGATCCAGGTTAACTTCCTCCTTTGTGCGAGGCCAAACCCATAACCAGTGTTACTAAATATCTAAGACTCCTAGCAAAATTCAAAGAGATGCCATTTTCTGGTTTATGTGTGAGCAAAATGTGAGCAATGCGATGTAATGGGTTTTAATATGCATGTATGTTCTTCTTCCAAGAAAAACATCGACTTGAAATTGCAGTTTTCCACCTCCAAATGAAGCAATAATTTATACTTTGTTTCTTAGTTATTGCAAATGTATCTATGCAAGAGAACTGATGTGCACTTTCAGAGATTTCCAGGTGGTGTTTGTATGAAGCAGAAGCACCACTCTGATGTGCCAGTATTTTTATTAAAAATGTAACCACTAAACAACCAATGCTCTAGCACACACTCTAGGGCCTCTCTCTGATATCTTTGAAACCTAGTTTTTAATTCTCAGGCAGAAATTTCAGAAGAGAAGCCAATGCCACGTGTATCAGTGAGAAACGACAGCAGGCGCTGGGGTTCCTATCACCAAGGAACACCTGGTGGCATTTCTGCTCTGCGTGTCTCTGCGGACCCTGTAGGAGCACATGCCTGCACCAGCGCTGGGCTACCACCCTGAAATGGTGCAAAAAACCCACTATCCAAAACAGGCTGCTGGTGCTCGTCTCCTAGGGCTGTCTTATGGGGAAATATTCTCTGCTATCAGCTTTGGCGCTGCACAGTGCTGGCTCTGCCTGGGTCTCGGCAGGCAGTAGCTGGCTCGTGGGTGGAGGTGCGGTGACGTTCTACTCCAGACTATAGACTCCAAATCCTCTGGCCATCCACATGGTGCTGGCTCTGATCATGCTCTTAGCAGAAATGATCATGTTTTTTTCACACAAAAAGGAAATACACTTGCCTGCAGCATTTCAGGGCTAGAAGGTGGACTGAAAGGTCTGGAGAGCAAATACATCTCTCATCAGAACAAGTTGAAGCATCTGACACTGTTGTGACTGTGTGTTTTGAGTTGTGATTTTCATTGTGACTCTAAAGTGAAGAGCTTGACTTCACCTGAAGCAGTTTATTCCTATTGAATCACTTGTTCTTAAACAATCTCCTCCTATCTCCTTCAGTCACCTTCTTTAATCCTCTTCTGTGCTCTTTATTAGGTTTTGAAATCCCAATTAATAGGTAGCAGAAAGATCTAATGAAAACTGATAAAAGAGCCCGGGAGTGGAAAGCACAGGATCAATACTGCTGCTGCTGTTCCCTCCTCTCCACCCTAGCTAATTTGTCCAGCCCTAACAGCTGCAAAATCTTAGAAAGTACCTCTAGGTGCAAACCCAGGAAGATGGAGAGATAGCGAGCTTTGAGTACCTTGATTGCCAATTACTCTGTGCATTTAAATCATTTACTCCATTCTCATTACAACTAGATGTGATCAGCACTGAGGCTGCCTGAAATTGCTTCTGCAACACGTTTCTGCAGTTGAGGGACCCAGCTCTGCACTAGCTCTGCTGTGGATCCTGCAGCAAAGCAAATCCCTCTGAACTTTGCAAGGGCAAACTTTCTGACAATGTCAGCGCTCTCATATTTTCACACTTGCTAATTTCCCTTGATGACCTGCCACGCTGTCTCTAGCATCAACTGCCTATATTAATCATATTGAACATGCTCATTAAATACTAATCAATATGAAATGAACCAATAGGAAATGAATAATCGTCAACCTTTTTAGCCAGGGGACAGCTCCGTAACACCCTGAAGATCACTAGGGAACTTGCCTATATACCAGTCAGTACATTTTTCTATCTCTGAGAGTGAATATGCTAGCAGTGCATTTTTTCCAGCTCATACCTGCCCTTTCAGGCATCTTTTATCACCCAGCAAGGAGAAAGCCAATTTAGAATTTACTGGCATAGCTAAAAAATGACACATATAATACTTTCTGAGTAAGGAATACAGCAGACCTACAGTTATTTTTAAGGAGTTTTAAAACAGGGAATACAATTTAATGAAATCAAGTACTTCCCATATATTATTTATTTGTTAATACTTATATTACACTTTCACTTTTGCAAACTACATTCAATGTGAAAAAAAACCCCAAACACCATCTATCTCTATACATCTGAAAATCTATATTAGAAGTTTTGTATCCTAGGGGGGATTTTCTATTGTGACAACTACTGTATCTTGCTTTTATACAACTGGTCATAAGGAAAGCATAAACTTAGTATTCTTCTGTGGCCTACAGAAGCATAGGCATTATATTTACTTACGGGTAGCCCAGTTCCATGAAGTTATTCCAGGTCTGCTTTAGCACCATTATAATACCCATTTGCATACAGAGATCAATAAGGCATCCACTAGGGTGGCACTACAGAAAAAAAGACATAAAAGGTTAAATAGAAATGATGCTGAGTTTTTAAGCATTTCTTAAAGACTGTAAATGGATATTAGATAATTTACTTCAGGGAAATTAAATGCTGTTCTCTTTAAATTTTTAAAAAAATACAAACTCTTGGGAGCATATGAGACTGTATCACTGTGGTCTGAATATGCCCACAGACACTGGACCGGACTATATCGTGTTATTAAATGTCTTACATTTGGATTCATCCAACAGGTGAAGAGAGGGCTATTGGAGGGACATATGGGTATTATATTCTACATTATGTTTCTAATAAGACCTAACACAGATATGGTCAATAAAGTTGAGACTTTTTTATTAGACATTTCTTTTATTATTAGACTTTTTATTTTTTGCTCTGAGAAAGGCAGAATAGCAGGGACTACTAATAGTAGCTTCCACCAGCAACTGACCCAACCTGTAACACCTTGCTTCTGCACTTCCCTCCCAAAGCTGGTTCTTTGTTCCTCCCATCTCTGCTCCTGCAAGTGACATTCTGTCCCTGTTCTCTGATGCCTCTGTGAGATGATTCAGCCCAGTAACTCATGAGAAAACTAATTCAGC